GGGGGTGGAACTACATCCACTGAGTCGTTTTCGAGCATCGTCGGTTAGTATGGCGACTCGAGCCCGTGGACAGACGCAATCCCCTTTGGGCTAGCCGATCTTGCCGCAGCCACCGGCTAGTGATGGACGGGCAGCAGGAGGGGTGGTGTAGCGGGGGAACGAGCAGGAGCACCGACGGCAGCAGCGGCAAGGTGTTCTCCTCCTCCTCCTCCTCCTCCTGCTCCTTCTTTTCCTCCTCCTCTTCCTCCTCCTCCTCCTCCTCCTCCTCCTCCTCACTCTCATCTTCCGTAGCCATTTTGGCTGAAACCACCGCGGCAGGTGGGGATTCTACGGCGTCTCCGCAAGTGCGGAGGCCCTGGGTCTCGCGCAGACCACTTCGGTGCTCGCTGAGATGATGGCGGCTTGGCCCTCAAATTCGTCGTGCGGCGCTCATCCTCACTTGCGTCGATACTGGCGCGTCCCACCGCGCCAACCCGTACGGCATCAGCTGCAATCGCGGGTTCGAGTTCGGCTACATGGCCCGTGCGTGGGTGCGGCCCCGGGCACGGCTCTCGGGCGAATGTCTGAGGCGACGAGCCGCCCGCGGCCACGAGAAAGGCTACACCACCATGAAGCCGAGCGACGGGCTCGCTGTCCCCAGGTCTACCAAGGCGGAGGTGAAGCTGCTCGCAGCTGCCACTGACCAAGAGCGCCAGCTGGAGCTGAAGACAGGCATCAATCGGCGCAACGGCGACGACCTGCGCGGGTTTGCCCTGACGCAGTACCTGATCACAGATGCGGGGGCCCATGCTCTCAAGAACAATCTGGAGGGCAACGTGGCAAGGCAGCAGAACTGTCCGACGGACTCCGAGAAGGCGAACACGCGCGACAAAGGCCACGATGCTCGACATACGTCGATCGACGTCTACTCTCGAACAGTTGACGCACTCCTTCGGGATAAGCTTGTGCAATATCGTTAGTCCTCGACCACCACGGTCGTCACCATTCAGACTGGTGAACTTCCACACCATTCCCAGATCGCAGCGGAAAACAAATTTAGCAAAGACGTTCTGGATCCTATGCCGCCTGCAGGGCATGATGCATCCCCCGCGCTCGTGCACGTTCAGTCGTTGATTCAACTGCTCGCAGTTCGCCCTGGAACGAAAATCCAGCCACAGGCGCTCGTTGTGAGAGCAGCGATTGCAGCAGGACGCCCCTTTGTTGGCCTCGCCTCTCCTTCGGAGTCTTGTAGCAATGGCGCAGAGCGCCAATTCACAGCGACCCCGAGGATCATCTCTTCGACGCGCAGCCCGACTACAACAACCGCCTCGCAATTATGTGAGGCAAGCCTGGCTGACTGACAGGAGGATCTTGCTCCTCGGCGTGATGCTCGCGCTGAGACGGCCACGCATCGGCGGCGCCAGGCGCGCAAGAGCAAGCGCTGAAGGCACCGCCGCAGCTCGCTCATCGAGGACAGCCAGCGGGACTGGATAGACTGGTGCGCACCCTACGCGTACAACGTCCTCGGGTCAAGAGCCACTTGCGCAGTTTCGGCCGAGGCCAGAGCTCATCGCCGTGCGGCATGGAGGCGAGGAATTCGCGAAAGACCGTCATTCCTAACACGGATCGGTTGCGAGCGTGGAGTGTCAATCTAGGCCTCTTAGATGGGGTCCGAGTAGATAGGGTCGGAGGATCGCACCACATCGCCGATGCATCGCCGATGCTGCTCGATGTGGAGCCCGATTTGCTTCACGTCGACGTCGCCAATTCATCGCCAACGTCGACGATGCATCGCCAGTGCATCGCCGATGCATCGCTGGTACATCGCCGATGCATCGCCGATGTATCGGCGATTCTCTGACCCTGTCTAGGAGACCTCTTTTTAAGAGGTGGCTAACTAACGTGAGGCGCCATGAGCGCAAACGCCGTGCGACTCGTATCTGGTTGTCCAACCATGCCCCTCCTTTTGTATGATCCGATTCGGCCGACCCTGTCAGGCAGGGGCCAGATTTGTCGCGCTCGTCACGCCACCAGAACGTGGACGTGAACTCCACGAAGCAGCATGCTGGTCAATTCCACTCGGCAGTATGATGACCAGCTCGCCGTCCAGTTGGACGCTGGACGACGCGCTGGGTTTCAGAGCTTCTTGTAGATGCCCTACTCGGAAATCGTCCCAGGCATGATCTCGGTGATGGTGACGCGATCCGTCCAAGACTTGATCAAGAAGACCATCTCGCAGGCGCCATGCACCATGCACCATATAAAGCTGCGACCGAGCGGCCCTTCCGACGGCGTCCAGGCGCGGATGGCGCCAGACAAGTCGTTATTCCTCCAGTGCGACCGTCATGAGTTGGATATTGCACAGTAGCAGAACATCGCGCATATCGAATCGGTGCTGGAAGCGAGCGACAATACCCCAGGCATCTCGCACGTCAGGAACACTACTACAGATCGTGGGGGGCGCATTCGCGATTACCTTCCAGCCCCCAGCGACTTCCACCTAGTCAGGAAGCCCTTTAAGCCCTGAAATGCCCGAGCAGCCGCGCCGTCGCGGCGCCTGGCGGTGCCCATGCGCTAAGCGTGGTTACGTCCTCCTGGTGGGCGTGCGCTCCTCCCTCCTGCTCCCCTTCATCCCTTGTGCTGCTGGTGCCTCTCTTCCCTCTTCCCTCCCTCGCTCCGCCCCGCCCCCCCAAGACCTGGGGGAGATCCAGGCCCCGTCGCCGTCTCCACTCGAAGACGCGGCCTCCGCAGGCGCGGAGCCGCGGCGCTGCGGAGATGGCGAGTCAGACGAAGTGGTCGAGACTGCGAGGCACCAACCCTGCAGCAGCCCTCTGGCCTAGCAAGCTGGCGCACGAGAGTGCCAGCAGTGTGCCAATTTGGGTCGAGGGAGGAGGAGGAAGCGAACGAGGAGGAGGAGGAGGAGCAGGAACAGGAGGAGGAGCAGGAACTGGAGCAGGAGGAGGAGGATCAGGATGCGGAAGGGCAGCTCGAGACCGCTTTTGTGTCTCCCATGCCGGCATCCGAATGTTGTTCGATACTTGGCTGACTGATCTGCCATCGTCTTAAACGGCAACTTGTGCGTGCGTGGGCACACCACGGTTCAGGAAAGGCCGCCTTCGTAGAAACGGCAAAGTTTTACCCCCACACTCTCTCGGCGGAAGCCAGCCGAAGGCTCGCGGACACCTGCGAAAGTGAGCTGAGGGGATGCTTCGTTGGTGGAAGCCCGGGGGAAGCCGCCAGAACAAGTAATTGTCCCCCCCCCAGCAAGGAGTAATGCTGGCGCCGGTAGGCTTTCTGGAGTCGGTCGCACTTTTTTTGTAACGTTTCTAGTCTAGGGAAGGCGTGGCTTTTCACACATCGACCGATTACGCCCGGGCCGGATCACATATAGCGCTGACACAAGTCCATTGCATTGTGTGGTTCGGGCACACTGTCCAAAATTATCATTGTTCCCGACCGCGCCACCACTTTCACCTGCCCCGAGCGCGCCAGTGTGGGGCGTCCGACTGATCATTGTTATCGTCCCGTGCAACGGGGATGGAGGCAGGGTCTGCGAGGGAGGATCTGCAAGCTCACCCAATCTGAAAATTAATTGCAAGGGAGTTGAGCTCGGAGTAAGTCGCAATAATCTTATTCCACCCCCAGCCCGATTAGTTCTCCATTATTTCGTTTCGATTGAGTTGGTCTTACCAGCACTCGGAGCGGCCGGCCAGGCCATGTGTGGCCCTGCGCGTGGGGCTCCTCGTGGTCGGCTGGGGGTCAGCGGTGCTGCATGAGGCGCCGTCGCGAGCGTGGCTCTGCAAGCTCGCCCTTAGATTTGACTTTCCTGTGTCCTGCCAAACTGCTCTTCTAGTTGGGCTTTCGCGAACGTATGTGCGAGTACCAGCACGTTCTTGTTCGAGCACTGCGAACTTTGATCACCGCCTTGAGCTGGGTTTCGCGAACGAGTTGAGCACATGTGGCACTGCACAGGCATCCCGCATCTGTCATTCACGCACGAGTGCCGGGAGCGTCTGCATGTTCATTGCTGTTCGTGTTGTAGTGGTTCTAGGCGTGGATTTGTACCTGGCTGTGGCGAGTGCGCGCTCGCAGTGGCACATTGCGTGTTGATCTTGTGCTGCAGCTCCAATTGTAAGAAATACCGTAGGGCTGCCAAGTATTTAAAGGTGCGACATGCGGGGCTCCTGCCTTCCAGCAAGTGACCCACGACGGCTCCACCGTTAATTATTTGTTCGCCATCGGACGGAATAACGGATCCGCGGTCGCCCTCTGCAGTAGTATTGGCGTGGTGTACAGGTATCGAGTGTGCCACCCACCGTTGTGTGAGAGCAGTGTAAACACATATTCGTTATGTGGGTACACCTGTCGGATGGGGCGCACCGCCGCCACCTCGCAGATTCACAGCACAAGGCGGGTGAGTTGTAGGTGCCACGGGATCTTTCTGCTGAGGACTGGCCGTGGAGGAAGTCCGATTTCGCACATGGTTCACCCTTTCTCTTTAGAAGACAAGCGGATCAGCAACACCAGCCGCAGTTGTACCACCATGATGAGCGGTGAAGGGGAAGGAGGAGTAGCAAGGAAGAGGATGGACGATGAAGAAGAGGAGAATGATGACGAGTAGGAGGATGAGGAGGATGCGAAGCGGTCGAGAGCGACGGGGTTGGACTGGTAGTTTTCGCTTTTGCGATATCGACGTGCAACAGGGCGAGCTGGTGGCGGCCTGCGACTCAGATGCCCAGACACTCTGGTGTTTTGGGCGTTTCTAGGGGCAAGTTCCTTGCGCTCTGCCGCCGACGTGGCTGTTGAGCGATTGGCATCCACACGTGCCTCTTGCGCGTGACGCGCAAGTTCTACGAGGGCATGTGTTCGGAGAACAACCTGGCGTCGGTTCATATTCAGACGTGCCGCTTTTGTCGCCACGGGCGGCTGCATGAGGTTGGGTGCGCCGTCGCCACGTCAACAGGGATGGGGGGCTTCCGTAGTCCGTTTCTGGTCGTTCGGGCGATAATTTTATCCTTGGTCATGGCTCCCCGCCATCGGTTGTCGAGGGACATGCTGCTCGAATACACGTGCAGTGTTGGTTGGGTAGGGGGTGGGGCTGCAGCGGAATCTGCCCTTCGAGCGCGTGGCTAGAATCATGGAAGCCTCGAGAAGGGAGGCCTTAGATGCCAAGGACTCCCCGACCAGATTTGGGCTGAGGACCACGACTCCATCCAAGGTGCTTGGAGGCCAGCTTCCACAGCCGTATCGGCCCACGTGTTTGCAGGTAAGACTGTTCCAACCGACTTGCCATCGATCCGGGCGTGCAACTCGCGCGAGTGAGCCTCACGATGAATCGCATCAGCCGGCACCTCCTGCATCTAGCAGTTCTCGTGCGTTGTACGGTTGCGGAGTGGCAGCTCCATGGGGGCCTGAATTGTTTCAACGGCAAGGGTGCTGCCAGCATCCCTGGCGGAGACCCTGCCCCTGGGGAGTTGACCGTGGATGCCTGCAAGTCGCTGTGCGAGGCCGACCCACGCTGTGATGGCGCTCTCGTGCAGAAGGGGCAGCCGTCCGGCGTGTGCTACCTGCGCAAGGACGTGGACATCCCAGGCTGCATGGACAGCCAGGATTTCGACCTCTGGCTTCTCGCGGTGCGGGAGGGGCCAGGGCGCAACCTCGGCATGGGCTTGGGCGCAGAAGAACCACCAATCCAGCCACCCCCGTTGTCCATTGCCATGAGCGTATCGCCGAGGGCGGTGTTCAAGAATCACGAGGACGGATACAATATCTACCGCATACCTGCGCTTGTGCGCGTTGGCGGTGCGGAGGTGCTCGCTTTCATCGAGGGGAGACAGAGCGGCAGCGACGCAGGGAAGATCGACTTGGTCATGAAGCGGAGCTCGGACGACGGTGCGACCTGGGGCCCGGCGCAGGTTGTCTCTAGCGGCCCTGGGGACATCGCGCGCGGCAACCCGAGCCCAGTTTATTGCGAGGAGACTGGCAGGTTGCTCCTTGTCTGGTGCTGGAATAACCTGGAACTCTATGCTCAGACCAGCGACGACAAGGGCCGAACATGGAGCGAGGCCCGGAAGATTAGCGAAATGGTGAAGCGCCCAGGCTGGGGCTGGGTTGCCACAGGCCCAGGGCATGCCATCCAGCTGCGCAGGGGCCAGCACGAGGGGCGAATCGTGGTTCCTTTCAATTCCTTCTTCGAGAACGCGCTGGTGAAGAAGGTCATACACCGGCATGGCTGCGCTGAGATAGATGAGTGCAGCCGCTACTACAGCGCCGACAAGCAGAATCTGGACGTGAGGGTGGAGATCGAGAACCCACTGGACCCCGAAATGGGGACGCTGCGATCGAAGTGGTACAACGGCACCACTGAGCTTCCCTTGTACGTGTACGCTGGCGACCGCTCCGGGGTCTTCTACTCGGACGACGGTGGCGAGACCTGGCAGCTGGGAGGCATGGTCAACTCGCGCATCGGCTCGTCGGAGTGCCAGGTGGCAGAGACGGAAGAGGGTATCTTCTTATCTTTCCGCGTGGAGGACAAGGATTCGGGCTGTCGCAAGATTGCGTTCAGCAGGGACGGGGGGCAGAGCTTCGAGGAGTTCTTCGAGCCACAGGTGTGCATCCCCGACCCCGTGTGCCAGGGCAGCATCCTGGCCCTGGAGGACGGGCGGCTCGTGACATGCGGGCCAGGCACCGCAGAGGGGCGCAGGGACATCTCGCTGCACATCTCGCACGGGCGCCTAGGCCAGAGCTCTCTCGGCTTCGCCCGGTTGGGCCTGGTGGAAGGGGGAGATGGCGGCTACAGCGACGTCGTGCTTCTGGAGCCGAGCCCTTCCGGCGCGGCGCGTGTCGGGGTTATCTGGGAGCACGGTTTCGCTGGCGGCGCCAGCTACGCGGTGGTGGACATGCCGTCCACCGAGGAGACAGAGTTCAGGGACCCCGAAGACCCCTGGGTAGCTCTCGCGTGAGTCAGCGCCTCTCGGGCCCCTGAGGCCGCAACCGACGCTTCGGGAATTAGGTCATTCGTTTCAGAGCGAGCTTGGGTGCAGGTTGGCGGGGGGGGGCGGGGGGGATCGGAGTGTGGTCTGCATGGCGAGGACACGGGGCACGGGTGAGAAGAACTGTTGGTTGGCAACGGCGGAGATAATTGGCTCACATTTTTTGTCGTGCCGGTATTTCAGAATTTAGGTTCTGCCTAGCACGTATCCAGCTGCCTGCGGCAAGTCCTGCCAACGTGCCAGCCAAACATTCTGGATGGCGACTGTTTGAGGGAGCACGGGATGCCGTCACGCGAGACACCTCGTGTTTCCAGGCGTCGGAGAGACGTGATGATGATGATGATGATGATGATGATGATGATGATGATGATGATGATGATGATGATGATGATGATGATGATGATGTTGATGATGGTGATGATGATGATGATGATGATGATGACGATGACGACGATGACGACGACGACGACGATGACGACGACGACGATGACGATGACGATGATGACGATGACGATGATGATAATGCTGATGATGCTGATAATGATGATGATGATGATGATGATGATGAGGATGATGATGATGATGATGATGATGATGATGATGATGATGATGATGATGCTGATGCCGATGATGATGACGATGCTGATAAAGCTGCTGGTGATGCTGATGCTGATGCTGATGATGCAGATTATGATGAGGATGATGAGGATGTTGCTGTTGATGATGCTGATGCTGATGCTGATGGTGCTGATGCTGACGCTGACCATGATGATGATAGCGATGCTGATGGTGATGATGATGCTGATGATGATGATGATGCTGCTGATGATGTTGATGAATATGATGACGGTGATGCAGATGCTGATGCTGTTGTTGTTGGTGATGGTGTTGATGTTGCTGCTTATGATGCTGCTGATGATGATTAATATGATGATGCCGATGATGTTGATAATGCGGATGCGACGGAGTAAGAAGAGGAGGAGGAGGAGGAGGAGGAGACTGAGAAGGATAATGCGAAATAGGAGGAGCAATAATATGAAGGCCGTCATGTGTGACACTTGCTATCTTCAACAATTGTTTTTCCAGTTCCTCGGCGCTGTTCGGCAATGTTTTTTGTTTGTGCATCGTGGGTTGTGTTATCCGGGCCCCTCAGGGGTGTGAGATCTTCCGGACCCCCTGTGGGTTCTGGAGGCCTCCTGGAGGCCTGGAGAGCCGTCGGAAGGGTGTCTCGGGCTGCGCGGGAGCGTGTTGGGCCGTTCTTTACGTTCTGGGGGCTCCTTTGGGTCGGCTTAGGCTTTCCTTGGGCGTCTTGGGGGCCCTCTGGGAAGCCGGGAGGCGCGGCACCGGCCAGATGTCAGGGGATGTGTGGGATCTCCGAGTAGGAGTCCCACTTTGGAAACAAAAGAAGGAATTCTCGGAGTTCCTGTTTTTGTTTTCAAAATTCTCGATCTTCGAGGGTTGGAAGCAGGAAAACGTGAGAAGGCGAAAAACATTAGAAGAACCACCAGAAATCAATGATTTTTGCCTTTTGGGGCTCTCTCGGGACGGCTCTCGCAGCTCTCGTGGGCTGTTCTTGGAGCCTAGTCGGGGTCTTTTTGGAGCCTCTCAGGGATCGGGGGGGTGTTGGGGGTATCTGGGCGGTCCCAGAGGCCTCTCGGTTGTATTGTTTTTAGCGTTTTCGAGCCCGAGGGAGCCCGAGAGAGCCCGAAGGTTTTTCGGTTTCTCGCGTTTTCGATCTTCCGACGCTCCGAGACGGCCGACAACGCCCCCAAGACCGCCCTGAGACCACCGAAGAGGCCCCCAAAGGAGCCCCGAGACGGCACCAGGGAGTTGGAACATTGGCCAGGAGGAGCCCCAGACGGCCCAAGAGAGCCCCAGGTCAGGCCCAAGCTGAGCCACAGAGCGCGAGCGGGAGGCGCCAAGGCGCTCCAAGACGGCCCAGATGGCCTCCACGTGGCCCCAGATGGGCCTAACACAGCAAATACACAGCCCAAGAGGCCTCCAAGAGGCTCCAAGAGAGCTCCGAGAAGCATCCCGAGAGAGCCCGAAGAGGCCCACATCATTGATTTACATATGTTTTTTTGAATGTTGTTTGGTTTCTCGCGCCTTCGACATTACGACGCTCCAGGACGGCCGACGACGCCCCCAAGACCGCCCAAAGACCGCCGAAAAGGCCCCCCAAAGAGCCCCAATACGGCCCCAGGGAGTTGGAACATTGGCCAGGAGGAGCCCCAGACGGCCCCAGAGAGCCCTAGGTCAGGCCCAAGCTGGGCTGCAGACCGCGAGCCGGAGGCGCCAAGGCGCTCCAAGACGGCCCAGATGGGCCCAACACGGCAAATGCACAGCCCAAGAGGCCTCGAAAAGGCCTCCAGGGAGCTCCGAGAAGCATCCTGAGAGAGCCCGAAGAGGCCCAAGCCATTGACTTACATTTTTCTGCTCCACGACGGCCGACGACGCCCCCAAGACCGCCCCAAGACCGCCGAAGAGGCGCCCAACAGAACCCCAAGACGGCCCCAGGGAGTTGGAACATTGGCCAGGAGGAGCCCCAGACGGCCCAAAAGAGCCCCAGGTCAGGCCCAACATAGCGCGAGCGGGAGGCGCCAAGGCGCTCCAAGACGGCCCAGATGGCCTCCACGTGGCCCCAGATGGGCCTGACACGGCCAATACACAGCTCAAGAGCCCTCTAGGAGGCTCCAAGAGAGCTCCGAGAGGCGTCCCGAGAGAGCCCGGAGAGAGCCGTTTCCTTGATTTCCATCGTTTTGTTCGCATATGTTTCGCCTTCTCGCGTTCTCGAGCTCCCAACGCTCCGAGGCGGCCGAAGACGTCCCGAAGATCGCCTCACGACCGCCGAAGAGGCCCCCAAAAGAGCCCGAAGACGGCTCCGGAGAGCCTGCAGACTGCCCAAGAACAGCCCAAGATGCCTCCAAGTGGCTCCAAGAGAGCTCGGAGAGACGTCCTGAGAGAGCCCCAAAAGGCCCAGATCATTGATTGTAGCGGCCTCCGGCCAGTGCCGCCGATCCGGGGCGCTCCGGATGATGATGATGATGATGATGATGATGATGATGATGATGATGATGATGATGATGATGATGATGATGATGATGATGATGATGAGGATGAGGATGAGGATGAGGATGAGGATGAGGATGAGGATGAGGATGAGGATGAGGATGAGGATGAGGATGAGGATGAGGATGAGGATGAGGATGAGGATGAGAATGAGGATGAGGATGAGGATGAGGATGAGGATGAGGATGAGGATGAGGATGAGGATGAGGATGAGGATGAGGATGAGGATGAGGATGAGGATGATGAGGATGAGGATGAGGATGAGATGAGGATGATGAGGATGATGAGGATGATGAGGATGATGAGGATGAGGATGAGGATGAGGATGAGGATGAGGATGAGGATGAGGATGAGGAT